GCGAAAAATCAAGAAATTTCTTCCTCTGAAAACTAGAAAACTGTTTAACAATGCTTTTATCCTGCCTTCTATTAGTTATTGTCTGACTATCTGGGGCAATGCACCAGCTAGTTACATGGAGAGAATTCATAGGCTCCAAAAACGGGCCGCTAGAATTATACTTGATGCTGCCCCTGATGCTCCTTCTAAGGCATTATTTGAAAAATTGGGCTGGCTAGCTGTTTTTGATTTAGTAACTTTATACAAATGTATCTTGTTGTACAAAATATTTAACAATCAGAGCCCTGCTTACCTGCAAGATTTATTTATTTTTCAAACTTCTAATGCTTACACTTTACGTTCAGAATTTAATTAAATTTTGAACTTCGTCTGCCAAAACACTGAACAAATTTGTTTAAAAATTCCCACCAGTATTCTGGTGTTCATATTTGGAACAGTTTGCTTTTAGATATAAGATGTGCACAAACTCTGTCAGTCTTTAAACGAAATGTAGAAAAATATATCTTCAACAATAGAATTTCATTACTCTGATTTATATTTTTTGTACATGTATATGGTGTCAAATCTTACAAATGCGACATTATATGACTTTATATGTCGGCATGAGATATTTGTTTATTATTATTATTATCATCATTATCATTATTGTCATGTGACATTGTTCGTGTATTATAATTCAATTTCTAGTTGTTAATATTTGCTACTTCGATGTAATACTGTTGTAATTAGAAGACCCTGAGGAAGAATAGTGTGTCACACTAATCAGGCTACCTTCACTAAATAAAGTATTATTATTATTATTACTAATGACAGTTTATAACCAAGCTGAAAGGTTTTTGAAAAGTAGGTGAAATTTCAAGGTCAAGGTTATGATTTTAACAAAATGGCACCTCAGGAAAGTCTTTCACAAAAAATACGCATTAAATATCAAAGCCTTAACAGAATGATTGCTAATAAAGCAAAAAAAAAATTGTTATTAAGTTTATTTAAAAAATAAAGTATAATAAGTATGCAATAAGTTTTATTTATTTTTGATGTTTGTGTAAATTGATTAGATATTCACAGGATTTGTCACTTGTTCAGTACTAAATTAACATTTTTTACACATTTCCTAATACAATTTTATTTTGTATTTTTCATTAAATTGATTCAATTTAATGAAAATTCATCAACAAGGTTAAACTGAAGATATTCTATGTGAATTTAAAAAAGATTTTTGTCCACGTACATAATCTTGCTGGGTGATTATAGGTAAAGCATTTTTTTTGTATAAATTTCAAAGAAGAGTGGATGTTGTGAAATATGGACATTAGTACATGTACCTTTCTTATTTACTTTGATTTATCATGATTATGTAAATGACTTTTACTGAACTATGACGTCATAAAGGTGTGACGTCATAAAGGTTTCTACGACGTTATGTAGACAACAGTTTTAGAGTTTCAATAAACCACTATACGATACAGAGGTGTTTTACTTTACCTACATTCCTGACATTGGTGCCGTGACCAAAGGGGAGTTATGATTTCTAAACTCAAGGCAGTTCGAGCAGGACAAAGAAGTGCAGTAACTAGACTTTTGAAAAGACTGGAAGAGGAAAACACAGATACAGAGGATATTGAAACAATACTGGAGTCAGTGAAAGAGAAGCAAGTAGTTCTCAGAGATCTCAATGAAAAGGTTTTAGCAGAAACAGCTGAGAAGGAAATTGAGAAAGAAATACTTGATACAGATGAGTACAATTTGAATCTAAATTCTAAAATACGGAAATTTAAGAAACATCTGTTAGTACAAAGATCAAGTTTTAGTGCAACTGCCAACAGTTACTCAGATGACAATGAGAATTCACAAATCAGAGAGAATGGTCAATCATCACATAGTTTCAGTGAAAATTCCAGAAGTCAACAGTCATTCACAAACCTTCATTCTAATTCCAATTCGAGTCGCAGTACTAACTTTCATAAACTACCAAAACTCAACTTGCCTATTTTTGAGGGAAATGTATTAGAATGGCAGTCATTCTGGGATTCATTTGATTCAGCTATTCATAGCAACAACACGTTAACTGAAGTACAAAAGTCTAATTACTTAAAGTCCTTAGTAGAAGGAGAGGCATCAAACACCATTGCAGGATTTGCACTTACCCATGCAAATTACAACAGAGCAATTGAGCTTCTACATAAAAGGTTTGGACAAAAACACAAGATAGTTCAGTCCTACATGCAAGCACTTTTAGATTTACCTGCTCCTAAGAAAAATCTCACAAGCCTGCGTCATTTTCATGATCAAGTGGAGACATATGTCAGGGGACTAGAATCCTTCGGTCAAGCTCAGGATACATATGGTTCACTTCTTGTACCTATTATTCTCAACAAATTACCCAGTGAATTCCGCAAAAATTTGGCACGTGATTATGGATCTACTGATTGGTTGCTAAGTGACTTGAGGAATAGTCTTTACAGGGAACTGGACATATTAAAAGCTGGAACACACATTGACGCAACAGAACCAAGCGCAACAGTTACCTTTTATATGCACTCAAAGTCCAGTAATAAGCAACTTCAACCCAACTTCAGTCCTAGGAAACCTCAGGTATGCTGTGCATTTTGTAAGGAGTCACATTGTTCAAATGATTGTACAGAATACAAAAATAACATTGACCGCATGAGAATAGTCAAACGAGACAAGTTATGCTTTAACTGCTTAGGCAGACATCGTGCTGCAGATTGCCAGTCTAAATTTAATTGTAAAAATTGTAAAAGACGTCATCATACAAGTTTGTGCACTGCTCATAACGTAGTCAAAATAAAAAATGTGAATACCCCTACATTACAAACAAAGGCTGAACTGGATGCAAAGACGAGAGAAATCAAAAATCTACAGGGCCACCTAGAGAGCTCTGAAAGTGACATCGCTCAATTAGAACAGCAGATAAAAGAACAGAAGATTTTGAATGAGAGAACTATAAAAGATCTTAACCTTTTACATACCCAATTTGCAGAGCTTCAGTCTGCATTTGATGCACAGTTAATTACTACAAATAAGCTGACTGTTGAGAACCAAGCTCAAGTAACAGAGTTGAAGAAAAAAGAAGTTGAAGTTAATAAGCTCAAACGGGAGATACAGCGGTTCAACATATCGAGAGAGACACTTCAGAGGAAACTTCAGCAACCGAGAGACAAAAATCATTCAGACAGCAGAGAGAAACTTTTACGGATCACATTACTGGTTTGAAGAGAGAGTTGGAGGCAGCAAAGAAGCTAGCTGAAGTTGATAAGAAAAACCTGGAGCAAAACATTCAGGATTGTAGACAGGAAACTCAGGATAAAATGAATATCATCTACCAGATGGAAAAAGGAGGGAGACCACTTCATTAATGAGGCCAACAGTCTAACTCAGAATTACACGAAAGATAAAGTTCATAACATGCAGATTGATGACTACAAGAAGATTTCTGAGGATGACACCAAAATCAGCCAACAACATAACCTGTACGAGGTTTTCAGTGATGACAAAAACACATATAGCAAGAACCTCGTCGAATCTCAGGATACAGAGATCAAAAAGATGAAGAGGAAGGTGAACATTATGGATGAACAGATTGATCAGTTAAAGGAGGAAATTCAAGCCAAAGAGAATGCATTCATCAAGGAGTACTTTGGGCATCAGAATGCAAATGCAGATAAAGAGAATTTCAAATCTGAGTTGAACCATTTAACAGCAAACAAAGCTTTCAGTATACAGCATCAAGTTATCCAACATTTCTTGGAGACTTTGTTCAAGTACATGATGATACCAAACTCAAAGACATAGAGTGAATCCAAGCTTGAACCAAGTGAAAGGGTGATATTTTTCATGTCACATTGTGAATAAGTTTTTCAAAGAATATTTTGCATTTTTCATTTAAAATCGCCTTTTATTTCTCTGTCCAATGACTTACTCAATTCGTACCTTTGGGGGCCGGAAAATGTTGTGAAATATGAAACTTTTGAGGGCCGGAGAATGTTGTGAAATATGGACATTAGTACATGTACCTTTCTTATTTACTTTGATTTATCAAGATTATGTAAATGACTTTTACTGAACTATGACGTCATAAAGTTTTAGAGTTTCAATAAACCACTATACGATACAGAGGTGTTTTACTTTACCTACATTCCTAACAGTGGAAAATACCCTCATGTGTGTGAATTATGTAGTTGAAGTTCTCATGAAATATTCACATGCCAAGCAAAATCAAACTTGCATATAGCACTTTATAAACGAAATAAAATACGATTTATTGACACAACTTACTAAGAGTCTTAATATATAAATATATTCATAACTCAAACTATTTCATTTATTATTATTTCCATGCCCATTCACATCATTTTTTTTTTAAATATTGCCTTATTTTTCTTTTTAAACATCGGTTTTGATGCCTTCTGACGTTCCAGAAATTTCCATAAAGACTCGGATCGGATGAAACGGAAAGAATTTGCACCTTTTGTTTTTAATCAGTTATCAATACTTATTTATTCTTTATCAGTTAAATCAATTTCTGATTTTAAAAAAAAATCATAAACGATGTTTTATCAAATAATTAAACGATTGCTTGTTGTAAGTGTCATTAAAAATAGTCACTAACTTAAATCCGTCAACCGGAACCACCATCGTACTCTCTTTTTTGATATTTCACGACTTTTTATGGAAAATGAAAGCAGGCTTTTAATTAAATTTACAATATTTACTATGCAAGTGAAATCTAAATATAGTTTACAGATAGCATTCCATGCCTAATAGATTATTAATAAAGGAGTAAATATGAACTCTGTTACAGGCGTTTCGGAGTTTATTTGCAAAATCTATTAATAATTATTTATAAGTATAGATGTATAAGTTTATACAACATTACATAAGTATGCTTTCAAAGAAACTTCAAAAACGTTATAAACATGGAGATATTCGTCGTAATCTAGAAAAGTGTTTGTATTGCATTCTCATTTTTTTTTTTACAGATGTGTCACTGAGCAGGAATGCCGACAGGAATGGTGGGAGAAAACTTCCGACAGATCGGAATGCTCTGGATATGATCCAAGCAGTTACACTGCAAAGAATTTCACGTGCTCATATTGTTGTTCCAGTCCTCAGTGTAACAAAAATATTGTTCCAGATGACTTGTATGTTCCATCTAAAATGTTATATAACTCTTTCTAAAAGAATTGATCTATGTGTTGTTTGTGTACCTTTCAGAATCCCGTTTCTCGAAGGGGTATTAAAGTTACCAGATAATGATTATTCAGATTATTCCTGTCTGTCGGAGAAAAAAAAGCTTACGAGTTACCCCTCGAATAGAACACTAAACTTTGTTTGGAGTTAAACTTGCAGTCAAAGGAGAACGACAATGGTGCCTAGATGCAATTGTCTGTATAATGTTCAATGTGAAGTACAATCTATCAGGATACAGCGATAAGCACCCAGCTCTCTTGACCGTGACGAAATATAGAAATATAGCTACCATAGATTGTCGTGAAAAACTTGACTCCTAGTGCACATTCTATACTTGAATTTTTTCCCCTTTGTTCATGTAGTTATCCTTGTTAAGGTAGTACAAAATAGATCGGCCAAAATTTTTCTCACATTCATTTTTTTAACTTTGATATTTAGTTCTAAGACACGAAATCTCTCTGTATGTTTAATATCAAAGAAATTCAACCGCACATTTTTGCCCACGTGGTTTGAAATATGGCCTATCAGACCCCTGTAAGAATATGTGGAATCAGACATTCGACTTAAGAATGTGCCTTATTTAAAATCTAGCAATTGATTTATTACAAACTTGTGTGATGCTGCTTTTATAGGCAACCTTTTTTCTTACTTAAATTTGGTAAAATATATTGATACTAGTAAATTTGAGTAAAATATGATGTAAAATAGAACATGCATTGTCATGGAATTGAAAATTCACATGTAAATATGCTACACTCTAAGCTCTTTTAAAAGCAAACGTATCATTCAATCTTTATAAAAAGCCAACAGAATGATTGAAATGGAACACAGAATAAAATATGTCAAAATACGGAAAATTGAACCTGTGGTTTAAGATATTTTAGCTATTTAAAAAATTTAATTAATATGACCTTGACATTTATTGTACATAAAGAATTCATTTGTATGTCCAAATATCAGCCCTCTACTATTTAGGGAATAACTATCTTCTAAGTTGATATTTACGACCGTTAATGCTGATTTCAGGTAGGTCGCGGGTTTGCTTTTGTCATCAATTTTAGTACACAATTTCGACAATTCGAGCGGTTGTTTTGTGCACATTTGGTTATGAAATCACTTACGTCACAAAGGCGACGTTGCATTATTTCCCGTTTAATTATCTGAAAATGACTTTAAAAATAGTCAGTACGAACCAAATAGATTAATACAAAGTACATGTTGTACGTAAACCTCGTACATGTATAAACCGAGAGTATAATAAGTCTGATGTCTGATATTTTAGAACAAACTAATAAAACATAATAAATATGATATCCAATGCAAGAAATAATTAATATCGTAAGTGATACTCAACTGCTAAGGGTCAATCAAAATGAGTCAGTTTAAAAGTAAGGATATGCATGCACAAAAAGAAAGTTACCATAAATTGCTTAGCCAAAAAACGAACTTAGGTTGCATGTGGGCTCGTAATTTGCAGTACAAAGGGTACATTCGTTTTACACATTGTTTGCTGATCGAACCCCTAAGAAAAATGTAATTGTATATTTTCAGGATAAATAAATCCTCAACACTAAAAACGGAGGAATCTTAATTTGATACATGTGTAACCGTATGTATCTGTGTATGGAACATACATGTATTTTCTTATTATTATTTTTTTTTTAAATTGTGTTTCTTTTGTTTATTTTATATGTGAATCTTCTGGAGTCGCTATTTATACAGTGTAGCAAGTAATCGATTTATTATAGTTAAATGCATTTATATACAAACACCCAGTCTATCGGTCCTATATGAGACTGTAAACAGATAATTGATATACTATTACGTAATACAAGTATCAAGTATAAAGAATATTTTTTATTTAACAAAAGTTGTCTGTGTATTTACATTTTGTCGATGAAAATTTGATAGAGAAAAATTAACTAATGTTTGAGATTTAGGGCAATATACTGCCTTGCGACATAAAATGAACATTGCGGCAGCCCCCCCCCCCCCCTCTCCGCAGTAGTGGAGATGGGTTTTTTTTTCTTCACCGTTTTCGAATGAAGAGATAAATTTTGAATGAATATGAAAATTCTAAAAATACATTAATCAATGTATTATTACTCGTGGTGTTGTCGCTGGATATTAATTTTAATGAATGAAAAAATGTTTATATCAATATACCGTTCATTCTGATTTTTTTGGCAGTATAATGAATTACGTAATATTAGTGAAGATAAGCTGCAAATCTTCCTAACATGTTTCTTAAAAAGTGAAATGATGAATGAAAGTAGAGTGTACATCTATGTCACCTTTTTAATTTTGCATATTCCAAATATAAAGCTACATCCACGTAAAAGCGATTACTTTCAAAACTAGAGCAAAGTTCGTTGCAAAGCAGCGAGTTGGTCTTCCGTTCTGTTTTGACGGGAAGTGACGTCAATAAAAGAAATGTATGAGTTAAGACGTCTCCAGTGACTTAAAATTTTAAATTTTGCATCAAAAATTGCAAAATAAGCTATTTCCAGCTGCTTCCGGTTTGACCGGAAGTGATGTAGAGGGATGAAAAAGAGGGATGAAAGAGAGGGATGAAAAATTTGGGTGAACGCTTCTGATGACGTAAATTAACCAATAATACGTAGAATACGGCAAAAATATGCATTTTCTGACTACTTCCGTTTTTGTCGGAAGTGACGTCATATGACGTCTATTTGTCATTTTGAACAATTTTGCTTCTTTGATGTATCACAAATTCTCAATAGTTTTTGAGATATTAAGAAAAAAAATTTCAACCCTTGTAGATCCCTTATTTTAGAGGCCAGCCCCTATTTGTTGATATCAAATGAAAGAGCTTGTCATTCTGCACAAATTTTGTTCTATATATTTTAACAAAATATTTACAAGTAAAGAGATATTCTTAAAAAAATGCTAAAAATTTGGATAATCTCAATATGACTATTTTCGGAGCATACCGAGAGTCAACGTGCGGCACTTCCGGGAAAAATGAACTACTTAGTACACCTCTATGAACATCGCTCTATCATCACTGAAAATATCAAGTTCCTATTATAAATGTGTATTTTAGAAAACGAGCGGACAAAGTGACCCTCTAAAATTCACTTAATCGTAGAAATCTCCGGACCGGAAGTGACGTAATCAATATATATATATATATATATATATATATATATATATATATATATATATATATATATATATATATATATATATATATATATATATTAATGCTCTACCAGACCTGAAAGTTTCATGAAAATCAAACAAGCCGTTTCCGAGAACTCCCGTGCACAAATTCGGTAGGGAAAAAAAACAATTTTATAAGTAGTAGACTAATTGTTCTCGAACAATTATAGGTCTTTCCGCCTTCTTTAAATTTCATAATTTTTCTATATTTTACTCTATAAAGTTAATTTTTATGCAAAAAGAATTCAGAAATGGCTTGAAAGATACGAAAAAATGAAAATTTCAATAATTGTGAAATGACCTTGACCTTTGACTTTCATTAAATTTTCAAGGTCAAAGGTCAAGGGTCACATTGCAACTGACCCCACGCCTCCATGACTTATACATTTAAAGTTATAAGGGTTAATAGCAAGCGGAAAGACGTTAAAGGGCGATAACTCATATAAGGGGTAATCAGATCCTTTTGCACTGAAAAGATTGAAGTTGTGTCTAAAGACCCAGAAGACATTAGTGAAGGTTTCGTGTCTCTACGGTTTGCTGTTTCTTAGGAGTAGCGATAACAAGGTTTTTTGCACAAGAGGCAATAACTTTTAAAGGGGTTAAGCTTAGGGGATAAGATTGAAATCTTTGAAATAGTTTTAAGAGTACATCTTAAAGATGCAAAGATATACATTATATGTTGCAAGACAAAGAGCTATAAAAAGAGCTTAATTTCTCGTATTTAGAATGACCTTGACCTTTGGCCTTGACATAAACTTCTATGTCTAAGGTCAAGGAATATAATGTCTCTAAGACTTATTTTGAGAATTTTTCATTATTCGTAAACTTAAAAAACTTCAAAAACTTTCAGGGGCAATAACTACTTAAAGGGGTTGAGGAATCCCTCAGCACTCAAATGGTCAGAGCGTCTACTGACTTAGTCGAAGATATTGGTGATGGATAAGTATCTCTATGGTTTACGGTTTCGGAGGAGTAGCGATAACAAGCTTTTATTGCAAAAGGGGTAATAACTCTTGGAGGGGTCAAAGTTCATATACGCAGGGTCAACTGCAAAAATCTTTTAAGGAGTACATTCTCATGGACTATAAATATTTTCGATAAATCTTGAAACTCAAAAACACACTTGGCTGAAAAATAATAAAAATAAACAGAACAATTTCAATAGGTCTTTCCACAGAAAGGTGGAAAGACCTAATAAAAATAGTGGAAAAGAAACCTAAGAATAAGAGTAAGGTCTTCTGCTGAAAACGAAAGACCTTAATGACGTAATAGTCATAGATAACGCCATAAACACAACGTTTTGACATTGTAAACGCAAACTTTGAAATTATATAGCAAAAGACTTACGAGAAGACATATTGATTTTTTTTATCTCAGTATTTTTAATTTTAGCTCATCTTTATATTTTGAAATTCCTGACTAACTCGTCTACGTCTTTAAAAGTTATTTTCCCTTTTTTAAAGAAACTCATTCCGTAAAATTTTAAAAACGTCATTTTTTCTATATATTCAATAAGAAAGTGTAAAACTAGCACCATTAACTATGCCGTGTTTACAGTAATATAGCATGAAAACCACGGAGGCAAATTTGATAAGAATTACAGATAATACGCTGCAAATTCTAAGGAACACTATATTAAATTTTAAGAATATGTTTTCTCATAAAAATTCTCATAAACCCACGACCTAACTTAACGGTCGCAAACTGAGCTTTATCAGCGACGCGTAAGCAGAGCCGGTAAAACATATGTTTGCGACCGTTAAATCAGCATTAACAGTCGCAAATACCAAATTAGGAGATAG